CTCGATAACCAAGACGATTTTCTATCTTTTGGCGAGAGGTACTTCCAAAAGTTTAGGAAAAATTTTGAAACGAATATTATTTCCCTATGGAAATCTTTTTTGCACCAGTTTTTTTCTTAAACTTTTGGAAGGTGTAGTATACCATGCCAAAAAGAGAAAATCTTCTAGGTTATCGAGTGTGCTGGATACGAAAAAACACTTTTCAGCAACTCAAAATCAACTTTATTTCTTTCCTTCCAGTGATATGGCCATTCACGATTATATTTGTAGGGGTCCTCATTTTGAACGATTTTTTCGACACTTTACTGACCTTCTAATCAACGTGCCATTTTAAAGATTCTCTACAAGATAGACTATTTAAATTTTTAGTATAATGAAGTTAAGGTGTCGAGGCGGAAGGTCGGGTTTTACTCAAAAAAAGTTTACTCTTAAAATTAAAATTTTTTATGCAATTCAATCTTTGCACCATATCGAGTTAACTTTTGACAATTAGGAAATATCCTATTTTGATCCGCGCTTTACGACATATAATTAAGGATTATAAGTTGCAGAAATACGGAAAAATAATCAAAATACGAAAGAGGTCACTTTTTCTCGAAAAAAGGGGCATCTACTTTTGAAATTTCTCTAATCGATAGAGAAACTTCGTGCATTTTTATTTTGAGACCTTGCACAGTCAACATATTTAACAAGACTAGACAGTACAAGTCTTGATTGGGATGTACTCCCAATCAGGATATCATTTTTTACAGCAAAATTCTTTTGATATCCCGATTGAGATATCAAAAGAATCTGTATCCCGATCAGAATATAAAAAAATTTGTGTGTTTCGAGGTGATGATGATAATTCATTGATTATGTCTATTTGATTTATGCACAGGTGGCATAAAAACGAACAACTGCGGTTAAAACTTATTTGTTGGTTAATGTAATTTCTTACTTCCACATTAACATGTGACTTATGAAATCTAATTAGTTTGAAAGGGGTGTTGCCGTGCCAGTTAATATGAGTAAAAATGCCGCAACGCCTAGAATGATGATGTTCTCTCGGCATCTTCAGAAATGCTGGCTTCATGACTGGTATACGGTCGATGTAGAGAGCGATTAGATCAAGAATATATCCCATTATGCGCAATAAAAGATTAACCACCTATTTCCCGATCGGGATATAAATTCGACTAAAATCTGTTAAAAATTTATATTCGAAAAAATAGTTGCTGGGTGCTTGATGCACATTTGATCAAACACAACAGAATCCGATGTAGTTTCTCGAGCTCTTTCTAATAGTGACGTCAATTTTTCCCTAAAACGTCGTCATTTTTCCGTTAATCATTTTTACGACGAAATTTTGTGTTTTATATCCTGATCGGAATATAGCTATATCCCGATGAGAATATATATCCCGATCAGGATATAAAAAAGATCAATATCCTGATCGAGATACAGGAGGTGTCCCTTTACTGCCTGGTATATAACACTTACTGATTTTTTGAAAAATTTTCAAATTCCTACCACATCTTAATAATGGCTTACGACATGACTAATATAGTCTTCCGTGGTCACGTCGCGCGTACGTCATTCGTCTGCGTTCGCGGTAAAAACATCGTAGCTCATTTACTGATAGTAGACGAAAAACGCGAATAAATAGTAACTATAGTAAAATACTTAAGAGTCATTGATTTTTGTATGAGCGCGAAAAACTAGTGATCGCTAAAAATCGCGCGTTATTTCGCGGATCTTAGAGCGAACGCGTTACACGATCCTGCAGCGAATTTTTAAAGAGACTCACGTCGCGACATGCGATAAGAAAGTGGACGCTACCGGTATACAGAGGGTTCCAACTTTATTTTAGATAAAGCTTTGCATGAACTACTGAACACCTAATATAGTGGTGAAGCGCATATGTCTGACGTCACCGAATTGTTTCGGTGATTCGATCTTCACTGACGGTCACCCATCCACTTACTAGCAAACAAGTCGAGTTTAAAATATCGAACTCATTTTCATTCTTTAACCGCGCTAAACTCGCGTGACTCATACAGAAATAGTGACAATAAAATGTCTTGTCTTGGTTAAGCGGCAGGACGACGCCTAGTGAGTGGATGGGTGACCGCCACTGAAAATCGAATTACCCAATTACTTCGGTGATCTCTGGCAGTCTCGACGACGCGCGAATAGTAAGGGCCAGTTCAAGTCCACGGATTAAGCTTTTCTGTAACGAAAAGCATTATATATGCAATACACACTTTATTTACATCGATAATAAACATTCGCACGTGTTGTATCAGCTTTCATCTTTTGTGTTAGCGTTGATAACATGAAACTAGCACTGGAAAAAAGTTGGTTTATTCCACCTAACAGTGAATAAATATTAGTAATTGCTCCATTCTTTTTTCTTCTGTGCAATAAAAAAAGTCTTTTAAAGAAGCAGAAATTTAAAATGATTGTCGTGTTGATCTTTTACTTCAGGTGTTTTTTCATAGCTCTTATTTCTCAAGAATTATTTGAAATCTCCAGATGCGTTCTTTATAATGATGCAGGTTGTGTGTGTTCGCTAAAAATGAGAGTATCTAAAGTCAATAAATACTCACACACGCACACAAGATATTGTGTCATCTGTATTCCAAATCTATCCTATATGCGTTTGAATGTATAGGTTACCGTGTTTTCATAATAAAAATTAAACTGCAAATTCTTTTTCATTTTAAATGTAAATTTATCATGTACACGCTACAGTGGAACGAAAAGAGAATGAGTAACAGAATACGAATTTTTATTTCCTCTCATTTGGTACGGAATTGTGCTATCGTAACTGTTCTCATGAGATTATTGTTTTTATCGAAGAGAAATGTAATCATTACTCATAGAAGACACACAGTTGCCTGCTTTAATCAAAAGAAAAAGGTCAGTACACTCATTTGCTTAGAAACATAAAAGATTGAGTAGAAAATAAGTCTGCCCATGTTACTTTTTTCATAGGTGCTACCCCTACGATGATATTTCTATGATTGCGGTTGTTTAAAAAAGATATTTCAAAAAAGACACGCTTACCCATATGTCTGAGAGAATGGATTTGATGTGGCTGGATTAGGAAGTGAACAGTTCATTTGGAACTGAAGAAACTAGATGGCAATCACGCTAGCGAGAGTTGCGAATGCGATGCGAAGCAGGAACAAGAAAATGAAGGATACGGCAACAGTGAACTCAGTTTTCTCACAGTTATTCCCTAAGAATAACATAATAATAATAAATAAGCCTAACTTGGTTAAGTATTTCTGGCAGAATGGAAGAAGAAAGTCGAAATTGATTAATTCCCTTGTTAAACAAACGTTCTACCATAATTATGCTCTCTCTTGCAATTATGCTCTAATCTAAGATGCCCCTAATGCAAAAGCTCCAAAAGTTGTTTTTTTTCGTTTTGAGACACGTAATCTGAGTCACCAGGAGTTGATGATCAGGAATATGACCTTACTTTTTTGATGTGACCTAATTTTCAGGGAGAAAATGGCAAATTACTGTGAATGTGTCACAAAGCGCATAAACTAACACAAAAATCATTTCTGTCATTTTTCTTCCAGCATCAACATTTCAGCTGTCACTATGTTTTTTCCAGATTCTACATCCAAAGCCAATTCTAGCACTGTGCTTCCATAAAGGTTTAAGCCTAAGGGCTTTTCACACGGGATGTCCAAACATGGTGGGTTGAAACCCGGACCCTATTTTTGTATCGCTTATTCCTCGTTGACCAGAGGCCTTAGAGCTCACTGTGATAGTCGTTAGAATCACCAGACGTTCAGCTTCAACGTGATAGAGCGCTTTTTTTGAAATTCGTTTTCATAGCTGAGAAAAGTTTACTTTACTGGGGAAAATCGAAATTCTGATCTAATTCGCAATTTTATCCATCAGAACTCAACTTTTACGCAATGAAAATATCATATTCCGAATCAGGGTCGAAAATCGAGTCGAATGATGTAACTTTTTACCTTATTTGATCACTTTAATTTTTTTTGAAAATTCGTGTCGAAGAATTACTGAGATTTTCATCAAAAATTAAAATCAACGAAAACGTTTAAAAACTACATCATTCGACTTGATTTTCGACCCTGATTCGCAATATGATATTTTCATTGCGTAAAAGTTGAGTTCTGATGGTGACCATCAATAATTACTTCCAACATACATATATATATATTTTTATCTCTGTTTTTCTATTCAATAGAACTCTGTATATCTATATTTTTTTCTCCTAATGCCATGTTAACGCATGGTACCTAAAAGACATATTTTCAATTTTATTTTACAATAAATATCTCTCTTGTTGCTAAGTGTCTTCTTTTAATAACGAGAATTGTATTTTTAAAAGGTCGATAAAAAATTAAACATTAAAATAATGTATTAAGACACGCTACTGTATTACTAATCTTCGTTCTTGAATGTACTGACTTTTTTCTGTTTTATCTAAAGTACGCAACTGTGTATCTTCTATGAGTAATGATTACATTTCTCTTCGACAATAATCTCATGAGAACAGTTACAAATTTACATTTAAAATGAAAAGGAATTTGCAGTTTAATTTATTGTGAACACATGGTAACCTATACATTCAAACGCATATATGATAGATTTCGAATAAAAATGATACAATGTTTATTCGAGAGTATGTAGATGCCTTCTACCTTGGTGATGTGTGCGTGTGTGTATATTGACTTTATATAATCTCTCTTTTAGCGAACACATACAACCTGCATCATTATAAAGAACGTATTATGAGATTTCAAACAATTCACCAAAAATACGAAAAAATACCTTAAGTAAAAGATCAACAAGACAATCATTTTAAATTTCTGCTTCTTTTAAAAAGATTCATTTTAAAAAAACCTTTTTATTGCATAAAAGAAAAAAGAATGGAGCACTTACACACTATTATTCAGTCTGGGAAGGCTGGACTACACCAAATTTTCTCCAACGTTGGTTCCATGCTTTTAACATCAACAAAAAAGATGAAAGCTAATAAAATACGTGTGAATGCATTGCTTATTGTTGATGTTCAAAATGATTTTATAACTGGTACATTATCGTTAAGTAATTGTCCATCAAAACATCTTGGTGAGGAAGTAGTACCGATTATTAATCATTTGTTAGAGACAATTAAATTTGATGTTATTGTTTATACTCAAGATTGGCATCCAAATACTCATATATCATTTTATGAATGTTTAAATTTACGTCAACATTTAATTTCGGCTGATAGTAAAGTGAATGAAACAAATGCAAAATTATTTGATCATATTCAATTTTCTCCTGATGATGAAAATCCTAAACAGGAATCAGTTGATCAAGTTTTATGGCCAACGCATTGTGTTCAAAATACAACTGGTGCAGATTTACATAAAGAACTACAAGTTATTGGTAAAAAGACGTCAATATTTCATATAAATAAACAGACGCCTATTATTCGTTTATACAAAGGAACAAATCCAGAAGTTGATAGTTATTCTGCATTTTGGGATAATCAAAAAATAAGCCAAACGACATTGGATGGAGATTTGAAAAAATTTAATGTAACTGACGTTTTTATTGTTGGAATAGCTACTGATGTTTGTGTCTATGCGACAGCTCTACATGCAACTGAAAATGGTTATCATACGTATGTTGTCGAAGATGCATGCAGAGGTGTAGATGAAAATGCAATTACATCAAAATTACAAGATCTAAAAGAACATAATTGTCAAATTATCAAATCGAATGAAGTAAAAACAATAATGAAAACAACTGAGGTAGTACAATAACATGAATAATTTGTTTATTATGTGAATGCTGTAACAAAACTCTATATTGTGGGTCAGGTGAGTGAATTGCACTGGTATTGCATCGTAGTATTCCGAAATGTAAACCCCTATTTCACCGTCTATTGAACGAATTTCAATAATTTTCTTTTAACCCTAGTAGTACCAAGCCTTTTTTTAGCACTCCATTGATAGTATACAGTTTTTCTTAAAGGATTATTTTATTTTTTCATCAGTATTTTAGTACTTACGTGTCATTCGCATGTTCAATGCGATAAAGAAACTGTCAAAATAACGATCTTTATTTATTTGGAGCATTGGAGCATAATGACCCTAACATCGAATTAAGAATAGAAAAAAAAGTAACAAAATATTCCCACTATGTTTTCAAATTTTTCGGTATGGGTCAAAAATGACCCACTTGGTACTACTAGGGTTAATTTGTTCCTTAGGTTGATATCTACTTTAGCCAGAAAAAGCCAAGATTTTATCTTCCTTTATTTCCAACTTACCATACAAAAAAGACAAAAAATTGTTATTTTTAAGGGTGTCTATCGTCAAAAGTTTAGGTTTATCTGTGTAATTCTGCCTTGGTGAGTCAAATTGTTATCTAGGTGCTGTGCAGCTAAGATACTTAGCTTTCAGAAAATGTAATCGAATTTAACATTTCTATTTATTTTTTAATAAAACATGTTTTACCACACACTTTTGTATTTTTCTTAGAAAAACTCAATTGAACTCGAGCTACAAAGAAATGATAAATTAAGTGTCTTGCTTTTTCTTACACATATCGAAAAAATATTTTCGAACATGCTCAAATAATTCTTCTTTTCAAAACCTTTTGATTGGTACATTACATTAACACTTTTGAATCTATTTATTATCTTTTTCAATGAATTTTTTCACTGATACAATACCAGCGCAATTCATTCAGGTTACCAATCTACGCTCTAAATGGAAATTCGTATGATACGAATCGTATGATTTCTTGCTTCTAGTACGATCTTACTACGATTGTTTGACTGGATGCTGGTTTATACGATTTTAATAAACTTCTCATTTCACCATTTGTAATTATTGTTTCTATCAATTTGCTTATCCGATCTGTAGGTATATAATCCGCTTATGAAGATAAATAACGTGAATCACATCGATTCACTCGGTCCATCGACTGTAAGTGGAATGAATATCGTGTCGAGAATATTCTTCATTTTATTGTAACTGCATCTTGTTACTACAGAATTGAGCAGAGATGTAGTTTTCCCATTCCGGCGCAGGGACAGGATCCTTTAATCCTCGACCGTCGGAATAAATTTATGAAAATTCTACGGAATAGGTAATCATCTACGAGGAATCGGCTTTATATGAATATTCTATCTACGACTCTACGACCTTACGACTTTACGACTGAGTCGTATACCAGTACGATCGACTTACAAAACAATGACTAATAATCCGGACAGTTCATTCACTCGACCTACAGGCAATGGAATTAGTGAATCGATGCCATTCACGTTATTTCTTTATTCTCGTGACTGTAAATCTATAGCCATTCT